TTTATTAATTAAGTTTGGGGCTGGGGATTTAGCTCAGCGGCACAGTGCCTGCCTGGCAAGCGCAAGGTCGTGAGTTCAATTCCTGGTACCGGAAAAAAAAACCAAAAACAAAAAAAAGCTATTAATTAAGTCCATCAGTACATTTTAGGAATACACAATGATCACATTCATCATAGGGAATTTGTACCTGTATGTGATATAACTTGATTCTTTTTTTTCCCATTCCCCTCCCCTCCCATCAACCCCTCCTCCTCTCCTTATTTGCAAAAGCTTTGTTTGCATTTTTTTCCCTCTTTTCTCATTTTTTCTTTTCCCTTCCTTTTCCCCTTCCCCTTCTATAGTTCCCCTTCCCATTTGAACATTTTCCTCCTATTTCACAATATCCATTTTGGTCCTGGTTTACACTTTTGGTTTCTCTCCCCAGAGAAACAATGTGGGTTTTACACATTCCACATTTTCTTTCTGAATTGGTAGAGCCAGCTGTAAAGATGACACCCTTTTGTTTCCTAAAGAACTTTCTCTTTTATAACCATTGTAATGATCAAAATAATACAAAATCATTAATTAATTTGCATTCCTTGGTACTGAACTCAGGGCCTTTGCATGGAAATACATTCACAGCAAACCACTGCCACCTGCCCCGCCTTAATTTTTAAATTTTGAGGCAGGGTTTTGCTAAGTCTCTAGTTGCTCAAACTGGGCTCAAACTTGTAATCCTACTGCCTCACCCTCCTGGAGTGCAGAGATTACAGGTGTGTATCACCATGTCTGACTTCATTTAACCTTGAAGCAATATGCCATTATCAAAATGAGAATGTTAAAAAATAATCAGAATGCTTAAAAAAATCAGAATGTTAAAAAAAATCAGAATGTTAACTTCTTTTTTGTTTTGTGTTTTTGAAACAGGGTCTCACTATGCAGTTCAGGCTGACCTTGAACTCACTACATATCGGAGGCTGACCTTGCACTCACAGGGATCCTCCTGCCTCAACCTACTGAGTGCTGGGATTACAGGTGTGTGTCACCATGCCCAGCTTCAGAATGTTAACACTGATGCACAGCATTGTCTACTCGGCAGGTCTAGTTTGGATTTCATCAGCTGTCCCACTGACACAGAGTATGTGCCAACCATGTTATAGCTATCATCTCTGCTACCGCCCCAAAGACCCAGAGATTATCTCTGTTTCAGCAGTGCAGGAACTAAGGTTTAGAGAGGTTATGTAAGTTGCCCACAGCCACACAGATGGTAAATGGTAGAGTTGGAATTCCAGCTCAAATATGCCTGCCCCCAGAAACCCTTGCGTTTTAGGACTGGACTAGAATTGCACCACTTGGGAAGGGCTTCCCAGTGCAAGGAAAGGGAGTCAGCATTCCATGCCTGGAAAGTACACAAAGGAAACCTAGTGACTGACCCTTTCCCAGTTCCTCAGAAAGTGGGGTTTTTTTGGTTTTTGTTTTTTTGTGGGTACCAGGAATGGAACTCAGGACCTCCCACTTGCCAAGCAGACACTGCACTGCTGAGCTATAACTCTGGCTCCAAGGAAGTGTTAACTGCGAAAGGAGAAAGGAATAAGCAAATGGAATTTTAGTTATTTTCTCATATACCATGCAAAGTTTTTTTAAACAGGAAGGTACTAAGATTATTGCAGTTACTATTTTAACTTTTCAAAAAGTAAAAAATAACTTTAAAAACTCAGATACAGAAGGCAGCACAAAAATAAACAGTTCAGTGAGTTACATTATGGCAAACACCTTTGTAGCCACCCTCCGGTTAAGGCACCCCTTCCCTGCAAGCACCCCTCCCAACTGCACCCCTGTAAGTAAGCAGTATTCTTGACTTATATATAATCATCACCCTCAGCATTTAAAAACCAAACTACGATTTTTAAGAAGATTCAAAATTCTAAAAACTATGTTAAGGAAAACATATTCTGACACATTAAAATTCCAAGGAAGACTGAATGTTACAGGTCCTCTGTAACGCAGGAGCCCTGCTGCAAGTGAAAGGGAAATATTATACAAGGAAAAATTGTTCTTTTTAAAACTTTGTTCTCTTTGAAGCTGCCTAGCTCTGTAACTATTTCATGGCTCTGTAATTGCTTTCTTGACCCCTGTAACCATGAAAGCATAACTGAACATTCAGGATACGTGATTGTACCAAGCTTTGTGGTCATTAATCTAGTCTTGTAACTGATGGTCATTAATCTAGCCCTGTAACCAATAGTCTTACCCTGCTAGCTAATCAGAACTGCCAGGCTGTCCTGTTCCACCCTGCTTATGCCTCATATAAAAAAGCTGGCTCACAGAAACGTACCACCTGGCTTTTGTTGGAAGTTTTCCAAGCCAGGACCACTGGTGTAAAATAAAGCTGTTCACTGCCTCCTGAATTCCTCAGGTGTCGTTCCTCTCCTGGACACAGTTTTGCTGCAACACAAGCATGGCAGACAGTTGGGGTGGTATTGCCAACCAATAGGTGAAGGCTTGTGGTTAGAAAATGACTAAGAGGAGACATCCAGGATTAGGGATGTTGTCCTCCCTAAGCTAACTAGGATTCTTGCTAAATCAGATGATGCAGGCCCAGCAAGGGCAGGACCAACTAGGAAGGCCAAATCTGAGACCCAGTTGAGAAAAGGGCTCATAGTGTTATAGGGAAGTAACCCCCAACCCGGTAGATGTGACAAGTTTATGTCTCCTGAGAAGAATGGATGGAGTCGAGGACAAAGCACGTGAAGAATAGGAAAGATTTTATGAAGAGAAAGCTCCTGAGAGGCAGACAGGGTCCGGGCAGTGGGTTTCTGCTGAGGCTCTTGGCCTAGGGGGGTTTCATACAGCACAATCACACCACAGTTACCTCGGGTCAAACTATAATCAGCCTAGAGGATTACATGTCCAGTTACTTAGCTAATACTGATTTAGTAGAGAAACAAGGTATGCAGCAAGGGTACCCAGCATGGAGAAGAACAAAGGCATTTGTGGAAAGGGTGGGAGCAAGGCTGAGTGTCCTGGTCATCAATCTCTGAGTTCATTATGTTGTTTCTCCATGTTGTTATACTGTTGGCTTACTGGACCAAATGGTGCCAGATACAGCATAGCTTTGGGCTACTGTGTATCTCTGGGGAGGCTGGCAGGCCTCGCCATCACCACTGTGCCTCCATCCTGGGCCTCCTTTCTATAACTCAGCTTTGACCACAGGCCTGGTTTGCCTCCTCTCTATTCTGACTCTTAGACCTAGTCTCTTTCTAATTGCCTAGCAAACTCTACCTAAGTTAGCTATGTGCAATAATAGGACCCGAACCAAAGTCTGGATGGGGGAAGAGTCTTTGTCAATAATGTAATTTAACTACGCGTTTATTTTTCTTTTTCTTTTCCTTTTTTTTTTTTTTTTTTTGAGACAGGGTCTTGCTATGCAGTTCAGGCCTGCCTTGAACTCACTATGTAGCCCATGTTGGCCTGGAACTCACAGTGATCCTCCTGCCTCAGCCTCCGAAACGCTATGATTACAGGTGTGTGCCACCACACCCAGCGTCGTTTATTTTTCAAAATAAGAAATTAACAAAAAATACATCAAAAACGATTGAATTTTATGGTGTGTAAATTATAACTCAATAAAGCTGGAAATTTTTAACTTTACATATTTAAAAGCAAGCTCCCTGAAGTTTCCTTCCTCCATTTTGATTAAAGCTGAAACGTGTACAGGGGAAGACAGCGGTGTATTCACAGCACAGGGTACCAGCCAGGGAAAAAATGTTAACTGTAGACTAAGATCTGGTCATTGCTGGAGGCCCCGGACAAGTGAAACTCACAATGTGAAAATACTACAATTTCACGTTCCTTTGACAGATCTGCCTGCAGCAAAGAGCCGTTGAAAGTATCAAATGCAAAACCAAAAGGTGGGAGGAGTTGCTGCTCTTACCTGTTCAAAACTCTACCATGAAATGAAAACCGCAGAGCCCAATGCCCTCGGGAGCTGGTGCTCGGAATAACTGTGCCATAGTTGAGGCACACTTCCCAATTTATAGAGCAGTGACTCTCAAACTTGAGCATGCATCAGAATAATCTGGAGGGCGGGG